CGATTTGTATCTTTTTCCNCTTTTTTTTTTTTTTTTCGTTCGAGTAAGAAGCAAAGAGACAAAAAAGAAAGAAAGAAGAAAAAAAAAGAGAATAGGATGGGGGGAGAAAAAGAAGAGAGGTGCTCTCCATAGGAGGCAAACGCACCAGGCATCGAGTCTCTCGAGGTGCACACAGAAGACTCTGTCGCGTCTGAAATACAAATGGCCCCTTACTGTCCACGGGTGTATCGATCGCGAGTCATCGTTCAACGAATGCGACAGGGTCTTTGAACCTCGATCTCTCTTAACGTTTCTTGCTCACTTGCCTGGGTTCTTTTTAGATGTTTAGATTTATGATCGCATGGCATGCGCTTGTATATCGTTTCAGATACGTATTACGTACGTTTTTATTTCTTTTTTTTTCTTTCCTTTTTTTTTTTTAATTTTAATTCGATTATTCTTTCGTTCGTTATTTTTTTTCTTTTTCTTTTTTCTTTTTTTGGGGGGAAGGGTGAAAGGGATAGGAGGAGGAGGGATATTCTGTTCGTTGCGTTTAAGTTTGCGCCGTTCACCTGTGTTTTCGTTGGCGACACTCTCATTCCATCGAACTCATACCACGTACCTTTGTACTCGTATCGAGGGATTCCACGTGATCAGCGATTCTATGTAAACACATTTGCGTGTGCTTAGGTGTAAGATGAATTGTAAGAACGAGAATGGGAGAATGCTTGAGCAGCGACAGTGGTGTTTCTCTTTAATTGGATTGCAGTGACACGATCGGGGTGAAGCAAGAATTATCCGTGGAAGTGCGAGTACGATGGATCTCTGGTGCGCACTGATCGATGAGTTACGCACAATATTTGATCGAACGAACGCACCGCTTCCTTTTTTTACGAAATTATACAAAATCAATATATTTTTAGCGTTCCACATTTGTACATTATACAAGTTTCACCAAAAAGTCCATAACAATTTTTATTTTCAGTCGATATTTTCAATAGAATTATTATTATTATTATACAATATAAAGTTTCGATCTAAGTCTTGATCATAATCATCAATGCACAAGCATCTTTCGTCCACGATAAAAGAACATCCGAAAGACCGCTATTCAAAGAATATACGTTCAATTAGAAGGAAAAAGGTGTTTCACCCGAGTTTTGCACATAATGCGAGTAAAGTTGGCGAGTTTCGAGTCTCATTGAGAATGATAACAAGCACCTGCACCAGAATATCGTGCTCGCATGATCTATCATTGTTCTATGAATAAAAAAGACGTATTATTCATTACCAAGCGGAATATCTCTCGCGGTTTCACGCGAATGAATGATGTTACGCGATTAAACTGTCGCGCGTCGAGCGTTCGCCCAGAGCTCGCGTTTTAGATTCATGTAAACGAACCGTGCGAGGTTATATTTCACGTGTTGCATACGACTCGGTCGTGGAAGATAAAGGCGCGAGTGGATTGTGTGTACGCTTGATCGCGTTTTTCTCTCGCCTTTTTTTGTTTTCTTTTTTTTTCTCTCTTTTTCCTTTTTCCTTTCATTTCCCCTTTCATCGTGATCGATGAATATAGCCGAGGCTGGCCTAAGAATCTCGAGTGCCGGAGGATGTAAGAACGAAGTGTGTGTACATTACGTGTATTATACGTGTGAATGGATGAAGAATCTCGCGATTCCATCGATGTGAAATCGAACGATGCAAGAAGAAACACTGTGGTTCCGCGGAGAAGCGGGAAATATTTTATTTTTCTTTTTAGTGGACTCGAAATTTTCTTTTCACGAATTGTTTTTTTTTTTTTTTTTTTTTTTAAGTAAGATAAGTATGATGTCAATGTGAAGAAACTTTTAAATATATCAATGATCAAGTACATGAAAAAGCTTCTGAAATTATTTTCTACTACGGTTTGTCGGAACGCAAAAATATCCACGTCAAATTACATCATCACACCGTTGATTTCAGATCAACAGTTAACAATGTTGACTGTTAATGAAGGCCTCTGACGATTTCCATCGAGAGTCATCTGTAATTTAAAATTAATAGTTTAAAAAATACATACATATATATACACTCGATAAAATCCGATATATTGTGTAAAAAGATCCTTCCGAGTCTTTCGCATACAGTCAACGTGTTAATTAAGCCAATTATTCTCCAACCACAATATTCACATTCAATTACTTTACAAATTATCAACATATTGTCACACATTGTCACTATCATCACATTTTCAACTTTCAATTTTAATTAATTCCAATAATCTATCATTCAAACAACACTTCTCTGAGGCATATCAACGATACATAACTAAAAAAAAAAAAAAAAAAAATAACACAAAATTTATACAAAACACAAATATATCGATTGTTCTATCAAAATAAATCATTTCAATTTCTTACAATCCATCCTCGATCGATCACCTCAATCACCCTCATCAATCATCAAATCGCACCAACGATCACACCTGAAAAAAAAAACCATAAAATTAACACCAGTTCCCGAGTTCTCTTAAAATAAAACTTACTCATCGACGAATGAATGCAGAAAGCGCGCGCATGCGAGAGAGAGAGAGAGAGAGAAATATGATTTCCAAAACTGAGAAACTCGAAGGAACAGTAGGTATAACGAGGCAGCGCGATCCCACTTTGACCAGTGTTCTCGAGGAACCTCTTCTTCCCCGGAACCACGGGATCCGCGACCACTATCTCGCGATTCTGCGCGTGTTCCTCGAGTTTTCACCTCGACTTTGCCCATCTTCACCAACTCTAGACCCCCCCTCAGAGATACACGTCGTCCGCTTCCGGTACGCAAGAGGGTACACACAGTGCATCGTTTGAAATTAAGCAAAAGCTTAAGAGAGCGAGAGAGAGAGAGATAGAGAGAAAGCGTTTTCATCTCTGGAGCTGCTTTTTGAACGAGGAATCGAAGAGAGAAGGTTGCTCGTCGGCGCGTGAAGCGTTTCGCGCGCCGACGAGGAGACAATGGGTCGACGGTCGAGGAGGAAACGAGCGAGAAAATCGTTTCTGGCTCGCCGTGTTCTCGCGAAACCCCCTCCCCTCCCTCCGTTTTCGAATCGATCCACGGCCCTTGTTGAACGAGTGCCAACCGAAAGGGTGAAAGGAGGAGGTGGAGGGGGATGGTTCTCTTAATTTGTAGCACGGTCGAACGTGTCCACGGGGCTCCATTAGAATGGGATTCGATTCAACTGTGTCCTAATGTAATTTTGTCCAAGTTAAATCCCTTTCGAAGAGACGGGTGGAGTAGGAGGAGGAGGGAGGCAGCCATCGAGATTGCTTGGTCCGCGAGAGGATCTCTCCCTTTTTCACGTGTTTCACGCGGGAATTACACGAAGGAGGGGGTGTTCCGGTGGAAACGAGCGTGGCGACAAGGAAATGTCTCTCGTCCTACGGACAACCGCGTTTCTCACCTCCTCGTGAATCTCGTTTTTGGATTTCCGTGGTTGTGGAAACCGCGTCGGGACGCGTTAATGGCCGTTATTCCGGAAATAATTGACCCCGTGAAATTACTCGATGGATTGGTATTGGTGTACATGCGTGTAAGATTGATTCATATCCTTCGATCCAATCGATATTTCGATAAATCAATTGCTAAGGAATATTTCTTAACGATTTCTTCAATCATACTTTTTCTCGATTCGTCGAATCTCTATCAATTTTTTAAAAATCGAAACCTCGGTGCTTGATATCATTTCCCCTTTCTTCTATCGTATAGTCTTACGAAATGAAACTATTTATGATAAGTAATATTTAGTCTTATATAAAGTCCTCATTGCATTTAAACAACGTGGTTCCAAATATCTGAATCTAAATAAGTACACATAAGATTTTTTAATCGAGTTAAAATAATGGATCTTGTAACTGAACAATTCAACAACGATATTCATTTTCCTCGTTGAAATCGTTGTTTCTTGGTCCAAATTAACGCACATATACACCGTTTATTATCGAGTTCTTTTGCTTCCTTGCTTGCATCGCGTCCAAAGGCATCTGGACGAGGCGAACTTCGACCGATAGAAGGCAGATTTCGAGATTAATCGTCGGAACTCGGGATAATGGCTCGCTTGTAACGCAATTAAAACCCTCGAGGCTGGTCCCGTGGCTGTATAACTTATAATAGAGAGCGCCAGATACCCCCTCCTCTCCCTCTCCGGTGAACTGCATCGTGTCCTCTTGTTCGATCTTCTTCTCTCTCCACCTACCTCCTTAGCATTCCTCTTCGAATCTTCTCTATCCAGCTTCCCCTTCTTTCTTGGGGATGCAATTTCGCAACTTGAAACGGCGCGAGTATATCGCGAATACCGCCTCGGTTGGAAGATTGGGCGAGATAATTTCGAGGAGGATGCAAATGGGTTCGGGAAGAGAGGCGCCCTCTGTGCTTCCGAGCTCTCTGCTTTCGAATGGGGGGAGGAGAGGAAAAAAGAAGAAAAAAGATTGGGTGAAAGTATTGGCACAAAGAGTTGTTGTCGTTGTGAAATTGTTTATGATACTCGGTGAAGAAAACAGGGAATGGAAGAAGCTTCGTTTAACTGACGAAATGTAATTTGAAAGTTGGTGAAATTTAGAATTATGTAAATTTATAGTTTTCACAAATGGAATTTAAAGGAATCTAAATAGGAATTTGTAAATATTGTTTTTTACACATTGTTGAATATTTTGGATGGATATTTTTACTTCGTAGATTTACATTTTTTTGAACGTTCAAATATGCAAAGAAAATGTTCATGCTTTTTGTTTTGTTTAAAGACTAGCAAGATTTGGATTATGAGAATGTATAGTTTTGCGAGGAGAATTGAATAATATTTCTAAATATAAATTTTAGAGTGTTTTTCTGTACACGATACATGTGTCTATAAATTTGTCTTTATATTGATGAAACAAAATTTGTTATACAATAATTATATTTATAGTTATATAAAAATTTGGAAAATTGTAAAGAAAGGGGATATATTTTTTACAAAATAATATATTACGTAGAGTCTTTTAATTATCGGTTGCAACTGTTGGTGCGAACATTCGTTTCTTCACGAGGAAATTTCGGATACTGTTACACGATAAAAGAGGGACACATGAGATTTATGTGTAGATAATTCATAGAAACTCAAAGAGATTCTTTTTAAAATCGTTCTCGAGAAGAGATACTGCTATTGTAACTTTCAACAGTAATTTCAATATTTATTAAAAATCGAAGTTTCCATTTGCCACTGAATAGGATTCTGTTTCTCGAGATAGTTGCTTCATGAATATCTTTTCTTTGAGTTATATCTTTCACGAATAAATATTGGATCGAAAAGATATCTGAGAAGCTTTTTCCTTAAATAAACTTTTATTCTCTCATTTATGTATTTTTCATTTGCTTCGAAAAATTCCATGATTAAATGTAAATTTTTTTTATTATCTTTATCTTTAAATAATTTCATAAAGTAATATTCCCTATTCTTTAATCATTAATGATTACATAAAATTCGATATACGAAATTTTAGACAAATTATTTCCATATTCGTCTTATTCTAACAAAAATGCACTAATTTTCCATTGATCCTTCACGTATTAAAAAAAACAAATTCCTCAAAATTTATATTATTTATTCTCAAAAATCCTTCTTAATTATTCTATTCTATTATACAACGATAATCGAAAATTCAAAAAAAAAAAAAAAAAAAAGAAAGATACGTAGAACAAACTAATAACTAATTATTAAAAAACAATTTTTTCTTTCTATACAAAAAGTACCTTCGATTCCATACCCAAAGAATTAAGTAACGTCTCTAATTATAATCTCATGGTGTCAATATTTTCGCCTCCAACGAGTGTGTATCTACATGCAAATTCATTCGAGGAACTCGCTTCGTCCCGAAACAGAGAGCCCGTTATAAATAGGCGACATGTTACTAAACAAGGATCAACACGCAAGGGAGAAGCGGAAAAGAGAAGGTTAAAGAGCTTACCAACAGCGGCCTAACTCGCGATATGAAGTGCAGCGTGCAATGTCGAGAGAGAGCCGTGAATCTATTTTCGAGGGAGGCACATGGCATATCCCAACCGCGTGTGCATCCTCGCGAACTCACGATAACGCAATCGTGACTTAAGTGGTGGACAAGTACGGTACCTTCCTGGAAAGATTCTTGCCACCACTCCCTGTCTCTTGCACGCCGCTTGTTAAAGAACTTTCGAATTACCAACTTCCTCTCTCTTCCAAGGTCAGAGAATTCCTCTATTCCAACCAGATATCCGATGATATCCGGTTAAAATTTTTATATTTTCCAAGTGAAATTTGTTGAAATTTTTGTCCCATATATTTTCATAAATATAAAACTTTTATTTATTTTTTGGGAAATAGAAAAATGGTTTTAGTTGAACGTTTATTCTAGTTAGAATTTCTTATTAAAATAGTTGTTATTTCTGAATAACAAACTCTGGTATTCGTTTTGGCCTCTAAAAAGTTTATTACAAATGTATTAATATTCTGTATAGGCCAGACTGAATGAATGTCTGTCTTTTTAATTTTCATTTTAATCTTATTTTAAATGAAATTAATAATTATCACGAATTATTTATTCTTATCTCTATTTTATTCTTAATTCAATTTCTTAAATTTAAATATTAATTTGGAACAGAAAAGAAATGGTTGAAAATTTTGATCTTATGATCAACGAATCTGTTCAACAATATAAAAATTTGCGAGATATACACTTTACGTTCGAGCACGTCCCAAGAGAACAGTTATCCATATTAATGGAAACCATAAAGTTATCGTACTATTCCATGAAAATTGCAGTATATATATATGTGTATGTATTTCAGTCCGTCTCTTCGTCCCTTTGTATCAAATCAACTATGAGAACGGCCGGTAAAAATGGGAGAAAAAATTATTCGTGAACGAGCAAAATTAAAATGGACACAGTTCGGGGGTGGGATTTTCCATCGTTAATTTCTACCGTACTAAAATCGTTCCTTGAAATTCGTTACTGTTCGCAGTCATCCTACACATTTTCAATCTTTTTTCCCTCTTTTTCTTTTTATATATATATCCTTTTTTCCCTCTTATTCAGTACCATCGTTACATTTTCAATCCTCTCGTTCATTTCGTATCGGATATTTTTCCCCGAGGAAAAATGTACTTGGCATAACAGTCTGTAATGATAATAGCGAGACCACGATCCTGTCAATTGCAGCACTCCAGAGAAGAGACGATTCCTTTTTATCTTCTATATTTTTCTTTTTTCTTCTTCTTCTTTCTTTTTTTTTTTATTCAATCGACAACTCGAATTGGTCGTCCACTACTTTCTATTACGAAATGTATCTCTTCTTCATCGATGCGTTCTGGCAAATATATATACTGTAAACTCGAGGGAGAACTTAGAGTCGAAGGAAAATAGATTCGATGAGATGTAAGGTTAATTTAGCGATTTAATTTTTTCGCTGCAAAGGAATAAAATTTTCCGTTATTAAAGAAGTACCATTTTTTGGAATATAATAGAAATAAATCTGACGTTTATAAGAGAACTGGGTTTAATCTCTCTGACAAAATTTTTTCAAATTCCTGTCAATCTATCTAACGCATAATTATTCGTTAAATCAAATATTTAAAAATTGTTTTTAATGAAAATAAAAATTCGAAGGTTCTTATACCAACCCAAGTTTTCTTATGAAGAACTTCTAGCGTACCTAGATGGAATTTACAAGTGGCTCGCAATACAATAATGGGTCTTTCATATTAAAAATAAATAAAAATCTATATAACAATTAAAACTACAATTCTCCGACACAGTTCGACAGAAAAAAAAAATAAATAAATGGAATGCCATTCTTGAAGGATTCTTCTCACTAAGCAACAAGTTCAATCATCCCATCTTGGTATGTTAGAGATAAACGAAAACGAAGTTTCAACCAAGGAAATAACATGTCTAATAAGAAAAGACAGTGGACGAACTGTCTTTAAGCGCCATTTTGTTTCTCTTTGCTCGATCGAGTGGAAAGAAGATTGAAAAAGGGACTTGTTTCGCGAATATGATCCAACAGTATGAAGGATTCGCGGTATTCACGTGTAATTTCCGGCGTATTGTACGTATTAATTACGATCTGTATACACATGTATATGTACAAACGTATATATATATATAGTATATATAAGTATTATATGTATATAAGAAAAAATCTAGAGAGAGAGAGAGAGAGAGAGAGAGAGAGAGGGAGAG